AAAAAGATAATTCTTATTTTTAAATTTTATTATCTATAATTATTTTTTTAATATTTTTGCATTTTAAAAAAATAAATCAGAGCTGAATAAATACAAAAATGCAGGCAAATTTGCCTGCGTTAGCTTACAATCTAAGGGATAGATATTTGAATAGGAGTTTCTTATATATTAGAAAGAGGCTGTTAGATCTGAGGAGCTGGTATTATTTGGATCAGCTATTCTGATGCTACATGAGGAAGAATGTCTAGCTTTATAAAGAGAAAAAAGTATTTAGTAGATTTTTATTCTTCTTCTATCTATTTAGCATTAGATCTGATTTGCTATTTCTCTGACAAAAGTATGAGTTCATTTTGTAGTTTTAATTTAAGGTTCTCTGCTGAAGGTTGAAGGTCTGCTAGAACTGAGTTTCTAGCTATCCTGTTATTGATTGCAGTCAATCTCTTGTGAATAGCTTGTATAGCTTTTTCTGGTGCTAGTTTTTGCTTAAAGACTCTGCATATAGACTAGAAGATAGTTTTGTAGGAGTCTTAGTTGTTAATGTCTTGTATATTTTCAATTTCTTTAAGGATTTCGAGTTGAAAGCTAGTTCGCTTTCAACAAGAAAGTAATCAGAGTTTCCAAAACAAGTGCAAGTATTCTTGCAGAATTGGTTATGATTTGAGTCAATAAATATTTAATCTAGTTATGTAGCTATTTTCTGATTACCTTGAGTGGTCTGGTAAAATGTTAGAAAAGGCTCAGGTTTGGCAAACTCTGCAATATTGATAAAATCTGCTATAAGAGATTTTAACAAATCATAGGAAGAATCTTTTTGGAAAGAAGTCTGACTAATTCAATTTTTGTCTGAGTTGATATTAATATTAAAATCACTAGCAATAATGTTTACTGTATCCTTATCTCTTGCTGAAGCCTAGTTGTTGAGGAAATTTCTTCTTTCATCTTGTCTTGGAGGAACATAGATATTGGTGATAAAATAGTTGTAGTGTTAAAATAAGGTTCTTGTTTGAAGTATACATTCATCTAAAAACTCTTGAGAGTTAGAGAATTGGATTTTTTTGTTTTTAGCTAGAATAGCTGTTTTAGAAGACCAAATTGAGTCGTAGTTTCATTGTTGTGATAAAAAATTTCTAGTTGCAATATCTGTTAGATTTGTTTCTTGTAGGAAAATAATATCTAGTTTATATGACTTTAAAAGAGTAAGTGTTTTTTGTGCTTTAGACTTATTGTTTAAGCCTTTGACATTTAGAGTTGCTATTTTGATTTTGCTTATATTAGAGAGTGTTTAAAGAGATTTGGTACTTCTGAGTATTTTAATACTCCTGATAGCATTTGCCCTTCATTTCATTGTCAGAAGAGATGTCTCTTTTTCTTAGTAATCCAGTTGATTTAAGATAACTTTGATCTCTTTTTTTTGTCATTTTTCTGGATTTTTTTGAGATGACAATAGTAAAAGGTTCTTCTTTTGAGTCACTATCTGCATTGATTTCTATAGAGTCTGAGTTTTGCTCAGTATTTGAGTTCTTATTCACTGCTTTTGGAGAAGTAGAGGAGAAGGATTCAATAATCATTTGCTCTTGGGTTTCTAAGTTATTTTCTTAGTTATTTTGAACTGAGTTTTCTTTAAGTAACTTTGAAGAAGGTTGGTTCAAGTTAGCTAGGGGAGTAGAGGTACTTTCTGGTATTGCTGAGTCATAGACTTTTCAGTATTTTCTGCAGAGTTAGAGATATAAGGATTATCTTTGCTAAATTCTGAGGTTGAGTTTGAGCTGGGTTTGTTTTTTTGCATTCTTTTCTCTTTTTGAGCATGTCTCATTTTAATTGAAAGTTTAAGATCTTCACAGTCTTTTTTGATATGTCTCTCCTTTTCACAGTAGTAATACACTTTTGGAGCTTCTTTCTAGTCTGTAGTAACTTTATGATTTTCTACGTGAGTGCTTCTTGAGATTCTTGAAGACAAGTCTAGATCATCTGTTGTTTCAAAAGAGATAATCCATTGGTCTGAGCAGACTGAAGTTCCTTCAAAGAGTAATGGTTTAATTGAGGTGATCAGACCAAGATCCTGGAAGGCTTCCATAATGAGAGCACTTGTCTTTTCTTTATCCCCTATTGGAGTATTTCTAAGTTTAACTGAGAGAAAAGTGCAGCCAAAATTAATAGGAATGTAGCCAAAGAGGGTCTGTTTGAACAGATTAATTCCTTCGTATTCATAATATTTTTGGGTATCTTTGTTATTGAAAACTACTTCTAAGTAAGCTCTTTTGCCTTTGATAATATGGGCTTTAGCTGTGATTAATTTGTCTTCGAGCTTTGAGGCAAGTGCTAGGATAATATCATTTGTTGTGATATTACTTAAGCTTTGGATGTCAAAAATAAGCGTATTTTTATTTTTAGAATGAATTCTGAATCTAGAAGAAAACTTGACAAAAGTTGCTTTGCCTCTTCTCAGCTTGGTGAACAAGTCAGACCACTGTTTTTTGTCTGATTCCATGTGTTTGTTTTGATGATCTACATGTTGAAGATTTTTGGTTGTTGTTTTTCCTTTGTTTGCTATGATCTCTTTTGTTTGAGCAGGAGAAGAGTTTTCCTTGTTGTCTGATAACATTTCTTGTTCAACATTATTAGCCCAGCTAATATTTTCTTAAAGGTCTTTGTTTAAATTAGTCTCTAGGTTTTTGCTTGATCTTGTGTTATGTCCTAGTTCTGTTTTGTTTGAAGTTTCTTCTTGATTCGAAAAAAGATCAAAGATTTTGTTTTTAGTATTTTGGTTAGAGAGCCTAGGTTTTTTGTTTCTAGAGCTGTTCATATTAAAAGCTAGTAGCTTTCTTTTCTTGTTTCTTGAGTTTGTTGCCTCTAAAAAGTGTGTTATTGAAGAATTTTTTATGTAGTTATCTAATATTTTAGATTTTGCATCCCTCAATTTGAGGGAAAGCAAAAAGAGTTTTTCAGAAGCTATATATTAGTTTAAATAAATTAATATTAGAATGTAATCTTTATAGAGTACAGTTGACTTAGTTTCTATTTAGCTGGTATTTCTCCTTCTCAGATACACATGTTTGCAAGATGTCTAAAGAGTTTTTGTGCTGTAGGACCTGCTTTTTTGATTAGTAGATAGCTTATACCCAATAGACCTGGTGCTGATTTGGCCTTTGTCTTTTTAAGTGCTTCTGTTCATTCCTTTTCAGAGACCTCACTCTCTAGACTATCATATATTTTCATATCTACTTTCTCCAAAGGTTTGTAAGCTTTTTCCTATTACTTAGGCATATTTGTACTTTGAGTATTTCTTTTCCTAAATTGCTTTTGAAAGTGATCTCTCACTTCTTCTAAGACTTCATTTTTTTG